TGATAAACTTTTTTTTTTTCAAAATTTTTTGGTAAAAAGCTCTGGCGGCTATGAAATAGAATTCCCGAACCGGATGCAATTTGTCACCAGGGTCACCTAAATGATTTTGAAACGGGTTGAGTTATGAAGAGATTGTAAAATTACTGTAATTACGTAATTTTGTATAATTTTGTGTAAATTAGGTAAGGGGAGTCATAGGTATTACGTAATACAATTTTAATAGTAGCTGCCCCCCCCAGGTAAGACATCCATATTAGCTAGTAAAAAAAAATTTTTATATGTCTCTGACCCCCCTCAGGATATTATCGTTACATAATATCTAATCTACTAAAAAATTTTAGCAGCCCTATTAGTCTGTTATTCATTTCCCTAATTTTGTTATTCATACTCCTACGTAGAATTTAAACCTTTTTGAACGAAGATCTCAACAACTAAATTAAATTCGATTAAAATTTTTTCAAAATAAAAAAACATTCATCAAATTTATTGGGTGATTATCGTTAAAAATTTTGTCGCGGTTACTATACTGAGTTATAGATATATAGGGGTGGTAAAAAAAAACGGGTTAAAACGGTGAAAAATGTTTTTTCACCATCCTTAAATATATAGACAACTTCAATAAAAAAAAAAAAAAAGTTAATATTATTTAATTAGGTGGTTGCCAAGTTATCATTTTATCAAGGTTATATTTTAAATTTTTTCAAGAATTTGAGTGAAGGTACAGTACATTAATCAGAAATAAGATGATTCTAGTTTACTATAGAGGCTTCTCCCCACTCCCTCAACATCACGCAACGCGACAATTTATCAACTAAAACTTGCTAAATTGTCATCTTGGATAATGGCCGTCGGGTAAAACCGGCTACATTATTGATTCATTTTTTTGTTTTTATGTATTGGATACCAATTTTTATCAAAATTGTTATCAAAATTGTTATCAATTTTTTGCTTTCCAATTTTGTCAAAGGATGAAAAGCATTCACTTTTTGTAATTATTTTTCACTTATTGGTACATATCGATATAACTATTAGATCTAATATATTACTTTTATTAAAATACTCTTTAGTCGCTAAATCATTCTTAGATTCTCAGTTTTAATAATTTATAGCAATGATTTAACAAATTTGATTTGTTTTTGAGTTTGACATTTTAACCGAAAATGGGACTATATTTTGGTTTTGGTTATTATCCCAAATGTAGTAGAAATCCCGATTCCAAAACCCAAACTATGTAGTATGTCATAATTCAAAAAAAAAAAAAATTTTGGTCGCAGCCCTCTTTAACGAATCTGAGAACGAATATCAAATACAGTCATACGCTTCTTTTCTTTCTTGCCGTTGTTAAACACATTCCAAAAGCGTAAAGTTTCATCACCAGCACCAGTAACTATATTCTCGCCATCGGGTGAAACAGAAAGGTAGAGGACACGAAGAGTATGACCTTTCAAAATAGCCAGCTGCTCCATCGTAGGATATTTCCAGAGAATTATTTGATTTTGAGAGTATCCATGAGTTGATACTATCTCGTTTGCATGTCTAGACCATGCAAGGTTGCAAACCTGAAACAAATGAAAAGATATTAATTTTAATCAGTAAAATCCTAAAAGTAGCATGAACACAATCTATACCTGAGATTCTGTATCGTAGCTCTCTAGTGCTTTACCAGTTGTAGTATTCCAAAACCGAATGTGCTTATCTTGGGAACCACCACCACTTGCCAAAAGTCCATGTGAATGTGGACTCCAAGCAATAGCTTTAACAGCAGCTGTATGATGAGGAAATTTATGAATTGGTACATCATTTGCTCTGTCCCATATCAAAAGCTTATTGTCATTTCCACCACTAGCAAGTTGATTTCCTTCTGGATTCCACTTAAGCCCACAAACCTAAACATAGACCAATAAATTTGTATTGATTTTTTTTTAAAAAATAAAAATTTAAATAATAAATATGTATTGATTAAATAATACCTCTTGTCTATGTCCAGACAGTTTCGCCGTATAATCATTTGGAGCTCTTATGTCCCTGTGATAAATTAACCTATCACGCCCTCCAGAACTAACAATATAAGAGTTCCAAGACAAAGCACCTTTTAAATTATAAAAATAGTTAATAATCAAACATATATAAACATTTAAAAATTGCAGATACTTACCTACTCGTTGAATATGTCCTTTCATTTTTCTGATTCTTCTACTTTTATGAATATCCCAGATTTCGACAGGACCTAGAGCTGTCCCAACGGCTATGTGAGAACCCTGTGAATTAACAAAAATGAACAAACTAATGACGGCAAAAATTCTTTTTTTTTTTTTTTTACTAAATAAACAAACAACATACCGTCGGCATCCAACTAACAGAAGTAACATTTTCCGTATTGCTATTGCCATGTCTTCCGGGAGTAGCCATATCGCAAAGTTTCACAACCTAAGGAAAAAAAGATCGACATGTAAGTATTAAAGACAGAGATAGGGGTAAATAATAAATAATAATATATTATACTCTTGAAGTCACGGCGTTCCAAAGATAAACACAAGTACCCAATCCAACACCCAAAACATTTGTGGAAGACCAATCCACCAAATTCAAGTAAAAGTCATCCTGTTTGAAAGGGAAATATAAATTAGATAATAATAATTTAAGAAAAGAGAATAAGATCGTAATATATTGCACAAAACATGCCTGAAGATCTGGTGCATCAAGCACCTTATATGGAGTTCTACTGATATATCTAGGGGGTTTGCGAGGACTAGTTAAAATTAACTGCGCTTCCAACGGAAGCGGGCTCGAATTATAATCACTCTTGACCGGAGAGTCAAAAAAATAATTTCGTTCCTTCGTCGGTGTACTAAAAGACAACAATCTCTTGGATGACTTTGTGGGAGTTGAATTCAAACGATGAATTATATCATCAGTTGTTTCTCTTAACGGTAACATTGCTTGTCCCACAACTGCTCTGTAGAGTCGATTTTCCTCTTCTAATTAATGATAAATTTGAATAAAAAATAAATAAAAAATAAAATGAAATAGAATAATAAAATAGATAATAATAAAAAATATTATAATATAATAATAATTAAAATAAAATAAAATAATATAATATAATATAATAATAATTAAAAATAAAATAAATAAAGATAATATAATAAAATTAACAATATAAATAATATTAATATCATTATAATAACAATATAGTAATAATAATAAAATAAAAAGAAAATAAATAAAAATCAAATAATAATATATAAATAAAAAATCAAAACAAAATAATTAGTGATGATAATATTAATAATATAATTCTAGGATCTAAGAGATAATTAATACCTTGCTGTGCTTCCTCTTCGATTACCGATAATTTCCGCTTCTTGGAACTTTCTTCGGTCACAATCCGCATCTGCAGATCCTGGACCGGATTAAGTGATCTTTGTGGTAAAAGACTACAACATATGATTGGTTTTGAATTAATACATACAAGTTTTTATGAATATGCGCATAACATAAACCAAGATAACCAACCGATCAAAATCAGGAGTACGAATTTTATGAGGAGGGGTTAACATTATGTCACTCCTGAATGAATAAGAACCATTGCTCTTGGCCTTAAGGTCACCTTCGCCTTGATAAACAGAATCGGGATCTTTGCCAATATTATGAGACATTTCAGGGAAAAAGGCAAAAAGTGACGTTTATTTTTGTAACTACGAGCTGAGTTGGAGATTAATATTAATATTGCAAAAATACAAAACAGAAAATATCTAAGTAACTGAACATTTTGGCATAGGTTTCGTGGCTTGGAAGCAATCAACGTATACCAATTGCAAACTCGTACAAGTCACAGGTACTAACCATATAAAAACTTGCACGACTACAGCCTATTGTTGCAGGAAGAAAGCAACTAGTTATATTAAGAGAAAGAATTTTTAAAAACGAGAATATTGATTTATTATCGGACAAATCATAGTATTATATATACATCAGCAGTGGCTTAGATCAGAATTATAAAAGGAATAATACGTAGGAATAATGACTAAAGTAATATGATGTATATATGCATTTAAATTTCAATCATGTGACTGATAAGATTGTAAATGAATTACAGAATTACATGAAAGCAGAATATCAGATATACTACGTTAATAAAACATATTAAGCAGTTTCATTTTTGTTTAGTTTATCTTGACGTCGAGATTCGGCTTGAGAAAGCTTTTCTTGTAATTTGGCCAAACTTTCTTTGTTACTCTCCTCAGAAAGACGACGGTGTTCTTCAGCGACTTTTTTTGCGTGTGCAACTTCACTTCCAGCCTTTTGGGCCTTTTCGGAATCTAACTGTCTCTTTCTTTCTTCCGCAGCTGTGAGTTTTGCGTTGATTTCTTCGCCGGAAAACTCTTTCTCCTCGTTGAACCTCTCTAAAATGTGCTTGGGTACAGGTGCATCGGGATTTTCTTTGATATCAACTTCGAAAGCGACGGAAGAAGGAGAAGGAGTTTCTTGGTTTTCGCTCATTATGGCAGATAGCAGATAGACAGGTAAAATTATTTAACGTTAATTATTATTATATCATATTATATTATTTTATTTTATTTTAATTATTATTATATTATAATATTTTTTATTATTATCTATTTTATTATTCTA